CTCATGTTATCAATGAACAGGAACACTCATAGAGGATTCCTGTTCATTGATAACAGGGGACACAGAAAAAGAGATTGAGGACTCTGTGTTCTCAATCTCTTTTTCTATTTTAAAAGGGAAATAGCAGGGGTCTGTTTAGACCCCTAATATTTCCCTGAAGCCCTTAACAGTAAAGTTAAAAAATAAAAATATTTAATAAATGAATTAATAAATAAAAATAAATATAAAAAAATAAAGTTTATAAAAAATACAATTTTAAAAAATGGAAAAAATAAAAAACATTTTCGGTATCGGTTTCGGACTGACATTTTTTTAAGTTTTGGTTTTAAAATTTCCATTTCGGTGCATCTCTACTGGTTACCAATATTGGCTGTGGGCTCCCTGATCTTTTCCCAGTTACTGATCTTGTTATGTACTGTCTCTGTGTGAAGATGGCCATCTTGATAGATGCAAGAATGGGGGAACAAGGAGTAACGCAAAAGTAATAGCAAGGTTTATAATGGATTGAGCTTCTGGGTTTCAAAAATTTGTATTCAAACAGCGCAAACCCCCTGACATAGAAATCCCATACGTGGAGCTCTCCAATGAACAATATTCAAGTATAATATGTATCCAAATATTTTAATTAAGCATAGCACAATATATTGTGCTATGCTTAAAATATTTGGATACATATTATACTTGAATATTGTTCATTGGAGAGCTCCACGTATGGGATTTCTATGTCAGGGGGTTTGCGCTGTTTGAATACCATCTTGATAGATGCAGGGCTTTGTTTGCTCATGTCGGAGGTCCCGCTTGATAACGGGTGACCTGGTAACTGCTGACTTGATGGTGGAAGAATATTAAAAAAACAGCTGGAGATATGAAGGAAGTGCAGATCCACAGAATGAATGGAGCAGGAGATTCCTATCCAACCAGCAAGTACAGTAGTGTCCTTACCAAATGTCACTTCAAATCTCATGAAACAAGTAGTGCACTGCTATTATTACTGAGGGAGTCGAAACAAAAAATTTTTTTCAGGCTACCACTTTGGCACAATTAACATTTTCTAGATGTGTACTATGACATAGTAAATGTTTGCCTTTTTGGTTTTGATTCTACTTTAAACTAGGTAAGAGGTGACACTGCATGTTAAAGGAGAACTATGGGGTTAAGGCTTTTCCCCGTAGTTCTCCGGGTAACGGGAGGACACTAACTAGCGTCCTCCCGTCACCCTAGGCTCAGTATACCACGAGCTGTAGCTCGCGGTATACTGAGACGCCGCAGTATACCGCGAGCTGCTGCTCGCGGTATACTGAGACGCCGCAGCTGAAGCGGATCCTGACAATTGTGCCGGGATCCGCCCAACTATCTAGAGGCAGAGCCAGCTGTACCCGCCCCCCATCCGTTCCACCAGTCAGCGCTGGCGGATCGGAGGGGGGAATCCATCCCCTCCCCTGTCACGGCAGAGAGCCGTGACAGGATCAAGAGGTGAGCGAACGCCGGTATGTGTTCGCTCGCCTCCCGATCTACTGAGCCGACCTGTGACAGTCTCATTGTCACAGGTCGGCTAGAACTATGAGGTGAGTGAAAAGCACTCACCTCATAGTTCTCCTTTTAAGATTACATGTGCTATGTGTTGCATCCTAGGAAAGATAATGAAGTAATAAATGACGCATGTAATTTAACCACCTTCCGTCCGGCCATTGTAACTAAACGGCCGGACGGTGGCTTGCTAGATGTGGGTGGGCTAATTGTTTAGATTGCTGTCAGTTTCCTGCTCGTTTCGTTGAGAGGCGCGCATAAGCGGGAAACCGACTGTTCTTTAAACAGCCCACAATGCTTGTTTACATACAAGCGTTTGGGCGTCTGTAGAGCTGCCCGATCGCTTGTATGTTGTGCTGATGCATGCGCCCCCTCCACTGCCGCCTATCCCAGGACTGGTATGGCGGCTCTGTGAACAGAGATTGGAGGGAGATCAGCACATGATCTCCCGCTGAACTCCCTTCTGGTCTCTGAATGCAGCAGTGATGTGTATTACGTCACTTCCGCATTCAGCTGTCATTCCTCCGGCTTCCTTAGCCGGAGAGAAGCTGATGAAGCAGATCTCTGCTTCATCAGCTTCTTTGGAGGTCCCTAGGTGACATTAGGGGTCTAAAACTCCTGATGTCTCCATAAAGAAGACCTGTCACTGTAAATTTGGCATCACATAGGAGGTTTCTTAGCCGCTTATGTGATAAAGTTAAGTGTAAAAGGAAAATGTTTTAAACATTTTTTTGTGACATTAAAAAATGAATGTCCCCCGCCCCAATGTACACAAAATGCATTGGGTGCGCCTACGTGCAAAAACGACGATTGTGCCCCACATGTTTAAATATTACTGCGAATTTTGGAGCATGAGCAATAATTCTAGGAAATTCAATCATTGTCAACACTAAACTGATGAGCAGTAAATGCTTTTAAAGTGTCGCCTACGGCCAATTCTGCTTATGGTAGTTTTTGTGATTTTTTGCGGGCACACTTAATTTTAAGGCATGACATGTTTGGTATCTATTTACCCGACGTGACCCCGTCTTTTACCGAAAAATTGGGTAATAATAAATGTTTCATAACATATTTTAGGGCAAACATTTTTTTTTCTTAAAATTTTTCGCTAAAAAATGAAAACCCCAGTGGTGATTAAAATACCACCAAAGAAAGCTCTATGTGTGCCCAAA